GGGGAGGGAGTTGCACGTGGATGGTAGGGGAGTTGGTAGTGGGTGCCCAGATACAGTCAGGGGGTATGGATTGAGGCAAGATAGATGAAAAGAACAAGGGGGCTAGTGAGGAGTGTGGAACGACCAAAAGTGATAGTGGTTGGCTCTGCTAGCAGGGTCTGGGGATAGGACAGAGGAGAGGAACAAGCTTAATAAGTTGAAGCTTCCGTATTACCTACGCATCAGCTTCATAAATGGGGGAATCCTTCGCAGATAACGGGACTCTCGTTTGCTGAAGGCTTGTCTGCAGTAGGGAGTTTCCGTATTTATAAATCTGATGCTTAAAATTTGGAGCTCTCAGCTCATCTAATCATCAGCTTCACATTATTCACTTTCAGCTTTACCTAAGTATCTGCTTTATAGATGAGGAAGCCCCATACGGATAGCGGTTTTCACTTGCTTTGCTTGTTTTTATTTTCGTTTTTGCTTTTACTTTTTTCTTGCTTCCTTTCTTTCCACCCATCATCCCCTCCGCTCTCCTTTACGTGGCCTAGGCAACAGCCAAAGGATCTACGCTACGTAGCCATTCAATGTGCCCATTTAACCCCCTCCCTTGCCTAGTGTTCCTGCGCTCGAACACAATCCCCGCTCACATTCACCCCAACCCCTTCCCCGTGTCTCGAATCCCACACCCAAAAAATATACTCATGCACTGCTGACCCTCTCTCCCCTCCCCCCTCCCCACCTTGTGCTCTCTGCAGTCCACCACCTCTCTCCACCCCTTTCCGTACCTCGCGTATTCGCGGAAAAAACCAGCAGCACGGTTCCTCCTCCTTCCCACCCATCACCCTCCTTCTCATCCCCGTCCCTTACGTAACCACATCAACGTTACTACTCAATCCACCCTACCAAATCCCTTCCCCTACTTCCAATCACCGTGCCCGGAATCCGCACACACGCCAGGACTGCCAGCAAGAGACCATCAGGCAATGCAGAAGAAAAATTTGTGTGTAGTTGTAAAAGGCGCTTGCAGAAAGTTGCCCATTTCCCAGAAACAGCTATACAGTTGATCAGGAGTGAGGAAACAAATGCATCATTACCGTTGCACGAAACCTTTCAGCAATTCGACAAGAACATGAGTACGCTGACGTGCAATTTTGATATCAGACGGTGTCGAATCGATACACAGCCCGTTTTTGATCGGTTTTTCAAACATGGAACTAAATTCTTTTCTTGAACCCAAATAAGACGGCCGTACGAAATCAACCATGCAAAAATACTCCATCAGGTTATTTTGCAACGGATAACCGGTCAATACAATCCGCCGTCTGAAAAATTTGCAAAAGCGCTCCTAGTACTCATGGCAAAAATTACGTAACGAGTAAGACTTATCATGTGTTTCAGCTAATATGCAAACAGCATGAAGTTAAACCAGGCAAAGTTTTTTTTTTTTTTTTTTTAAATATAACATCCTCCTGACTTCGCCGAGGTAGAAGGGCAATTAGACATACTGCGGCATGTGCTCAAAGATCAGGAAAACCAATTATTTTTATGACAGTCTTTGAAACTTACGACAATATGCAGCTAGCTCGATTCGGAGTTATAAAACTAACTCGAGTTTGGAACTTGGGACTGGCAAGTTGGAACAAACTTTAAGATTTTTGGCTCCAAATATGGTCGAAGACTGCGCCCCCCAGATTTGCAATTTCCCTGTGTTAACAATTTTGAAGTTGAAATTTATAAAAAATTATACAAACATATACGCATAAACAAATACAGCGACAAGCCCAGCGTTAATAAAATATAAAAAAATTAACCTTGTTCTGATTGCACTTAAGGCGGTTGCTATTCCAGTTCTTTCATTTTTTATGCGATGACCTTCATCACATACGACCAAATCAGGACCAGGATTCAGCAGTGCTTCACGCGCAACTGCAAGCTTGCATTCTGTCAATCCAGCAATATCATTTCACTAGCAATACCAACAGAAAGTTTTCTCACCATTCAGAGCTAATGCATCCATCTCTTCCTTCTCAAGATCAACTACTTCTTCAATTTTCTTGTTCGACCGTGCAGGAATGCGTTTTTTCGGCTTGACCTGTACAAGCAATCGGAACATATCATAACCAATAAGCAGCACTCCCCCTTGCACGTTCCATTTTTCTAAATTTCTAGTAATTATCTTCATAAAACATTCTGTGGATGGTGTGAAGCACCGAGGACAATGGGATCAGACGAACAGAGAATTGCAGATCAAAAACACAATTTCGTTCTCGCAAAAGACTATTCTGTAAAATACCTTTTACCTCTCCCGTCCAGCTTTAACCATCGAAAATGCTACAAAACAAATCAAAATTGTAGAGACTGTACGCTCGTTTTTATGCATTTAATGCAAAAATGCATAAAAACGAGCGCGTTCGGTTTTCTGTTACATCTAGCACAACAACCGCGGAAACTAAAAAGCTGGAATTTCACGAGGATGTTCCTAGCCCACGCGCCACCCAAACAGCTTAAAATCAACGTTCATGCCTGGATCTCGTTTATGTACGCCTAAAAAACTCCTGCAAATTTTTTGGCGGGGAAACAAAATCGGAAAGCAAACAAGATATGAAGCTGAAATTTCATATGAATGTTCTATGCTCCTTTGTGAGCCAACGATTTCAGCTTTGACGCATACCTACGTCACATACGCAGACACGCCAAAGGCACTAGCTCGCACCTCCGTAGCGCATTGGATACGTCAAAAATATTTGTAACGAAAAGCGATTTCGCCAGTCAATAGAGAATGGGGGGCAGAAATTTCACGAGGATGTATTACACCAGTGCGCGACCGAAATACTTCAAATCCAGCTTAAAACTACGCCTAGGTCTCGCGGGCGCACGCGAAATTTTAATTTGGAATGCTGCTGGTAAACAATTAACTTAGTAATCAGATTAAGTAGGATGCCCTACTTCCCCGAGGATGTTTGCTGTTCATTTAAGGGCCACTAAGCGTAACCAGCCCCTGTCTAGCCTTGGGCCCCCTGCACAGATGCATCAGATACGCAAATTGCAAAACTGTAGTCATACTCCAGGGCGCAGGAGATCCTTTACAAGATGAAGTCATGCAAAAACGTATGATTAAACAGGCGAGCCTGGTGTGTCGCCATCTAGATCTATTTTTACTATGCGTTTTTTGCATCTATGTAAACTTAGTCGAAAGCGTACCGGCTGCCGGTACGAGGATGCGTTTTTTGCACAGTTCCTCCGCACGTTTTTTTCGCCAGTGGCATGTTCTTCCCGGCAGATGCTTCTAGCTAAAAGAATTGGGACTGGCCACCAGTCCCAATTCTTAGAAATTATTACAATGACTCCCAATTCATGCCCAAACAGTTGCTCTGGATGCTTCGGTTGCGGAGTTACGTCAAATTTCACGTGTTTATGCGCGAGTGGCAACTTGAATGATCTCTTTGCCTGCGGTTGTTCAAATATGACCTTGGGCAGCGCTCAAAAACTTTCAGCTGCTCTGGTTGCAGAGTCACGTAAAATTTAACGTATTCGTACGTGAGTGGCAACGTGGATGTTGTCTTTGCGTGCGTTTGCTCAAACACGGCCCTGAGCAGCGCTCGGAAATTATCAGCACTCCAGCTGCTCTGGTTGCGGGGTTACGTCAAATTTCACGTGTGCACACATGAAACGCACGTCAGACGTAAAAGTGGTGTGTAAGTCGTCTTTGCGTGCATCTGGTCAAAGGCCACCGTCGGTGATACTCAGAAAGTTCAGGTCTTTTGGCTGGTTCAGTACTGAAGTTACAAAAGCGCATGCGTGAAATTTCCACTTGTTCGTACGTGAGATGCTGAAGAGCCGACAAGTAATTTACTTTCACGGATACAACAGTGGGCGACAAGTAATGCTGCGAAACTGCAACTCTCCGCAGCTTACTGATCAGCTTAAATCCGGAGTTGGCATGACACCAGTTTCAACTTTGACATGTGCGTACGTGAGACCTGGGGTGCGTGAAGGCTAAATTTGAAATCTTTGGATTAGACGCGGCCAGGGAACATCTCTGTGAAGTTCCAGCCTCCTAGCATGAGCCGTTCCTGGAAACGCTTTCTCGCCAAAAAACTTTCACATGCCCCCACGTGAGAACCACGTGGATCTCAGCGTCCATTTTCAGAATACGAGCCCGCATGTACGTGCAAAGTTGTCAAATTTTCAGCCTTGTAGCTTTTGTGGATCTCGAGATGAAAACTCGTTACAGACGCACACACAG